TCATTTGATTTCTTGACTGCTGCTTTCGTGAGTGTTGATAGTTGATCCAAGAAGAGTGAAGCCCTTGACAACTTCAATCTTTTCTCCGTTGATAAGAATGTTGTTTATTGGTCCAGTGGTGAGGATTTTTGTTTTCTTTACATTGAGAAGCAATCCATACCAAAGGCTGTGATCTTTGATCTTTATCAGTAAGTATCTTAAGTCCTCTTCACTTTCAGCAAGCAAGGTTGTATCATCTGCATATTACAGGCTGTTAATGAGTCTTTCTCCAATCCTGATGCCACATTTTTCTTCATATAACCCAACTTCTCAGGTTATTTGCTCAGCTTACAGGTTGAGTAAGTATGGTGAAAGAATACAACCCTGTCGCACACCTTTCTTAATTTTAAACCATTCAGTGTTCCAATTCATGTTGGTAGACACATGCGTGATGTGGTAGGCAATATACAAGAGGGAGGTTGGCAGAAGAAAGATGAAGGTAGCGGGAAACACAGGGAGGAAGGAAAGAGTTAAAGTGAATAAAAGTAAAGGCTATTAGCTGATGGTCCAAGGAGGGGATAGCAATCACTTCCATGAAGCAAAGTAATATGATGTGTTCAATGTAAAACTGATGATCTGCTCTATAATCCTTTATTCAATTACTAATAAAAAGTGTTTAAAAAAAAATAGATAAAAAATATGAAGAAAAAAAAATTTGTGGAAAAATACCACTATTTTTAAATTTCCATTTTCCATGAACTTTTTGAAGTCCCCGTTATACACATGGAAGACGATCGAATGTCTCATTCTTGTACGGTAGTCACTCAAAATAAGGATGGAGGAGCTGGGCAGCTGGCACGTGAACTGACCAGCGGTGTCAATGAGCTCAAAGTCTCTCAGCCACCAAGGAAGCAAATGCACTTCAGAGGTGGCTAAGTAACCCACCATAAACGCACTGGAGACAACTGTAGTAACAAACAAGTCTGCAAGGCTACTTCCTTTAACCTTACTGAGTGCCCACAGCCAGACGCCAGAACCCAAGCAGAGCACGGCCGTCTCAGCAACTGGATGAAGCAGTAAGAGGCATTCAGCTCACTTTGCTGCAATGTGAGGGGCAGAGAAACCTTAGCGGGATCCCTCAAGTTCTGAACTGAAGATTGAGCAGCATGTGTGTAGGGCAAGGCCCCATAAAGCCAATCCATGATCAACCCTGGGAACAGCTCTCCGAGTTCACATGGGCTGGGAAATGGATTGCATTCTGGGGAGCAGAAAGGAGAAACCTGGCTGAACACACAGGTTAGACCCACAAACCCCACAAAGGCCAAGCATTAGACCAGAGCAGCACTGTAGAATAAAGCACTGGACTGCGAGGCTGGTTTGCACCATAAGGTCGGCGGTTCAAACTCACCAGCTGCTCCTTGAAAACCCTGAGTTGGAATCGACTTGACGGCACTTAAGTACAGTAACAACAATCCCCAAAGTAAAGGCTATTTTAGATTTATCCCCAGAGCTTAAAAAGAAGTCTTGGAAAAATCCAATCGATTGGCAGCTGCCTGCCAAGGCAGAATTCGTCTTTAAGGAAGATACAAAATGAGACATTAAAAAATATAACATTCACCACATCCAGTTCTTGTTAAATGTTCTTAAGTCGGTTCTGACTCATAGGAACCCTGAGGAGCAGCTGGTGGGTTTGAACAACCAACCTATGATTCAAACTGATCTTTCGATCTTAGTACTTTATCATACTGCGCCCCATCAGGAGTCTCCTACCAATAAAACTGATGAAGCATCCAAAAAAGCAAGAAAATGAAACCAAATGACAAGGATGATGAAATTAGAAGATAAGAATTTTAAATCAACTGCTATTAATATGTTAAAGGATTTAAAGGAAAACCAATGCCAGGGAGGATCAAAGAGACTAGAAAGAAACTGCAGATTCGGCACATCGTGAACTAAAGACATGACAACCACAGAGACTGTCCCAACTGAAACACAAGGGAAAAGGCTGGGCACCAAAACAAAACAAAAGACCAGCGTCTCGACAGTCGTTTACGAGGCCTACCATGCACTAATGAAAGTCCCAGGAAATAGAAGGCGAGTAGGACAAAATATGACCAACGAATGGTCAAAACGTTTCCAGACTTGGTTAAAAATGTCAACAGATCCAAAAGCTCACGATACCCCAAGGAGGGTAAAAGAAAGCAAGCCACATCAAATTACTAAAGTAATGAAATTGCTGAAAACAATTCATACAAGGAGTCAAAGGAAACTGACAGATACCATGTGCAGAAATCAAAAGAAGATAAGAAGGCCCGCTGACTTGTGATCTCCACCCATGCAGCCTAGAAGACAGCGGGGCATCTTTAAAGTGCTATGAGAAAAACAGAAACAGAGAACCCAGCGGCATCACCCAAAGCAATCATTTCAAAACTTTTCTTCGGTATGTTTAAAACAGATGAAAATGTATCTACTACTTACCAATAGAAGACTTGGGGGTTTTAAATGGGTTCGGAGGAGCATGCAGAGCCTTTGTCTCGGATTCCAAGTCGGCATCCTGCCTTCTTGCACTCTTAGCTGTGCTTGGCTGAAAAGACTCCGGCAGACTGAAAGTGGAGTTGAGGCTCACGCCTGCATTTTCTGGCGTCTGTGACTGTGTGAGGGAAGCAGCGCTGGCCTCCAGGAACCCACCTGTGACCTGGGCCACATTGGCCGACTTGGTTTGCTTGCTGGAGGCATCTGCAGGACCCATGGGCCTGGACCGCTGCAGGGTGGTGGGTCTGAGTCTGCTCTGAGTCCTGGTGTTGGACAGAGTCCGGGAACTGTTTGCAGGAATACTGACTCGTTCACCTGATTTACCTACAAGAGAAGACACACATCGTGTGGCGCTCACTCAAGGTCTCATTCCTTCTCAATCAAGAAGCTATTAACTGTTTAACACTTGTGTATTATTAACACACAAGTTAAGCTATCTTAAAGTGTTCTCAAGTGAAGAAAGCCACTGTTCTCTAGTGATGATGCCCACGCAAGAGGGACACACAGGACAGTGTGTCCACCATCAAATACAGGACAGCCGTTAGTATTAGAAGGGATGGATTCTGTCCACAATGCCAAGATGGACATTGGTGCTGTGTAGTCCCATCGAGTCAGTTCCAACTGAAGTGACCCCATGGGTAGGTATAAGTGTGTATAAACTCAACCCTGCCTCTTCACTGATGATCCTGACAGCAGAAATCAATTCTAGTAGAGCAGATGGAGATGGACAGCCTCAACCTCCATCAGATAGGAAGGTGGGAGGGAAACAGGAAGGAAGACAATTGTTGGTGGTTGGTTCCTTTAGTGATCAAAAGCTGCGTTATGTGTTCAAGAATATCATTTAAAATAAAAGAGCAAATGAACTAGGATGGAACATAGTCACCCACCAAAATAACAGGGGTCCCCTATGGGGAAGTGACAAGTTCAGAACTACCTGGAGGCAGCTAGGAAGAAAGGACTGGCTGTCTGCTTCTAAAAGGAGGCAGCCACAATGCCATCTGGGGCACAGTTCTAGTCCAAGAAACATGGAGTCTCAGTGAGTCAGCATGGACTCAGGGCACTAGGTACACTGGTAGACCCATAGACTGAGCACACAGGCCCGTGGTGAAAGGCTTGAAGAGGCTGACCAGTGCCCCACCTCACCGAGAACAGAGCCGTTTCACAATACCCCTCCAACACATTCTGATCCAAGTGGCTCTGCTAGCGCAGTCCAGACAGACACCATTCCATCATGGCCAGAGCAAGACTGCAGAAAGACCGAAGGGAAAAGGTGCACAACCTTTTCTCACTTCACCTGCTGTTACTATGAGGGTCAGAGACGAGGCCAGCCCATTACCACAAGGACTTCTAGTCCTGAGTAACGCTGCAAGCCAGGTGTCAGCAACTCAGCCTGTAACCAGGATGACACAAACTTCAGCTCCTTCAAGGGTGAAGGATGGAGTAAGCATTCCACACCCAGTCTGCCTGGTCCGTAGTACACTGCAGTGCCATGCAGTCAAGAGCCCTGCCAGCAAAGACCAGAGGATTTAACTGGAACCGAGGGGCTTTTAGGGGCCCTGGTGGTGCAGTGGCTAAGCAATGGGCTGTTTACTGAAAAGAAGGTTGGCAGACCGATGAGACAATCTGCTCCTAGGACACCGACAGCCTCAAAAACCCTCTGGCCAGGCTCTGCTGTGTCCTGTACGGTCGCTGAGTTGGAACTGACTTAAGGGCGGTGACGTCAGTGGGTTTTGGGTTTGGGCTGAGGGCCTTTTCGGGGAGTCTACCAGGATCTCTTCCCTGTACCACTAGATGGCACCCCTGGCTGGCTTAGCAAAAGCACTGCTGTCAATTTCTGATTCAAAGGCTTCGTGGGCTGGCACTGCAGGATCAGCACTGGACTGCTAACCACAAGGTCGGCAGTTCAAACTCACCAGCTGCTCCCTGGAAACTCTATACAGAGTCACTATGAGTGGTTACGAGTTGGGCTGCCAACCTCAAGGTCAGCAGTTCAAAACTACCAGTGGTTCCGCGGGAGAAAGATGAGGCTTTCTGCTCCCGTAAAGATTTACAGCCTCAGAAACCCTGTGTAGGGTCACTATGAGTCGGAGCCGACTCCACGGCACTTAACAACAACAACAACATGAGTTGGACGTGACTCAACTGCACTTAAGAACAGAGACCCTGTACAGGGTTTCCGAGGCTGTAAAGCTTTCAGGAGCAGACAGCCTCCTCTTTCTCCCCAGGAGCGGCCGGTGGGATTGATTGCTCACCTGGTGGTTAGCAGTCCAAGTGCTTATCCTGCAGAGCCACCAGGGATCTCTTGGCTACTTGGCGAATTTAAACAGGTCTGGGCGTGGGAATTTAAAGGCTTGTCCGAGAGCTCTAGGGGCCATGCGTCCTTCTGACCACCCCATGTCAGCAGTGCTGAGCACCTCACATTGAGGCTGCTCTGAGAGTCTGCATGTCTCCGGCACTTAGTGTGCAGGAGGGACCCTTGCTCTTCCTGCCCACCACCTAGTCCAGCCCACAACCACACCGCCCGAGGGGTCCCGTAAGAGCAGAGCAGCCTCACCTGGACCTCCTGTTGGCTGGGCAGGCACAGGCGGAGCGCCTGGAACAGGCCCGGAGGAAAAGCTCTTCCTCGCAAGACTGCCTGTGCGGCCTGGTGGTCTCAACAGGGTCCTCTTTAGCCCCAACTGAAATAAAATGTGGAAAAACGTAATCATCAAAAATTCCATCTACTCGTTACTAAAAAAGCAGAATTTTCAAATCTTTTGTAATAATTTCTCCAGGAATTTAAAGGAGAGTTAATAAGGGCTTCTCAGTATCTTCAAGCTGTGCAGAGATAGATGGGGGTGCCAGTGGGAAGGATACTGGCAAGACATGCACCTTGAGGGTCCCAGACCAGAGTCACCAAGTCTATGGCTGTGGGCCTGGCCTTGGGTCACTTGAACAAGCCCACCAGTGAGTCTCAGGGAGCCACACTGAGCACCCATGCAGGTAGCTAACCGCTGGCTGTGTGGGCTGCGGATGGATCACCGAAGGTTTGGCTTCTCGAATCAGAGGGGCAGGACCACGTCCACAGGAAAGAGCCCCGGCTCAGGGCTGACTCACAGGAGCTGGAGGTGGGCAGGAGCACACCCACCGAAGCCTCCCAGGAACACTCTCTGTACTGAGTCTGTGGACAGTAGCATGCAGCAGCTCAGTGACTCTCCTAATCCCAAACTTGGTTTGAACCCGAAGGCGTGTCCCCTGTCTGCTGAGCAGCCACTTAGTTCTCCTGGGCCCACTCCCCTCACTCACCTTGCTTGGCCCAGGTGGCACTCTCTTGCCTGATATCAGGCTGCTGCTGGCAGGCCCTGGAACAGCACCTGGAGCCACTCTGGGCCTCTCAGGAGGCACCTGTGGGTGGGATTCCTTCTCATGGAACGTTGTCCTGGAAGGACTCGCTGGTCTCTCTCTCTCAGGCTGAAAATGATGAATCTGGAATGTAAGAACTGCCCAGTTCTCTACAATGCACCGTGACACTAAAACTTGCACTGGGGCAAGAGAGAGAGACAGAGAGAGAGAGAGAGACAGAGAGACAGAGACAGAGAGACAGAGAGACAGAGACAGAGAGAGAGAGAGACAGAAAGACAGAGAGAGAGA